CCGGATTCGGAGTTGCTTATCGCCTTTCACATCACCTTAAGTGGCCTTCCAGAACGTGGTGCATCTGCAATATCAAAATTGCCGGATTGAAATTTTGCAAACCAGTTTTGACACTGGCGTTCTGTCAATACATCTTCTCCATACACATCGGATAATTTTTTTCTTGTTTGAACAGCATTTTTACATTTTCGATAGTAAAAAAGTAAAATATGCCGAAAATGCCACTTTTCACTTTCTATATTTGAAAGGGTACCAACCAAAAACTACTGCGTAGAATCAATCAAACTTTTTCACAAGCAAGCCTTGCTAGGATCAGCTGTCAAAACATATAATGATTATGCGGCTTAAGTGTGAAATTGGCCGTGAAAAAAGAAAATTAAGTCCTCTGTTGGGAAACAACGAAATTACTTTCTGAACAACCCAATATAAGCACTCGACCGATTTTCATGGAACAACCGTCAAAATGTAGGGAATGAAGAATTATGAAACATACATTTGGAATTTTTAAAAAAAACTCATTTTTAAGGGGTGAGCCATCCCTTTGGATAATTCTTTTACCCCTTACGCGAGTAGTAATTGCTTTATCCAAATGAAACTTGGTTAATTTATAGACCAGAACAATACAAAAAAAACATTTTGGTTTTTTTCGAAAAACGAATTTTAAGGGTTGTAACAACCCTTTAATAAAATGATGTATAATCTCGTTTTAAAACCAGCTTTGTACGACTTTCTTGGACTTAAAGGACTTTAACGATTAAAATTAATAAAAGAATACGATCAGGTACCATCCGATACATTCGAAAGGTAAATTACCCCTGCGCTAACCTGGCACTGCATACTGCTCTCTTGCGCGGCGTTACCACTCGGCTACGCACTAGTTGCGAGGACAGCTAACTCCACTGTCTTATATTCTACGAATCACATTCCTTTGAACCCAAGGGGTAATTTACCCTTCGAATGTATCGGATGGTACCTGATCGTATTCTTTTATATATATCTAAAAAAGTTTTTCTTTACATCGGATGTTTAACGATTTAGAATCCTAACGTATGTTATTTATAATAAAAAACAATGGGAAGTCCTTAACCAAAGGTTTAATAGTTTTAATTCTACACATTAAAAACAAAATGGTATCCGAAATATAGGCATCTTCCTCTGAAGGCAAAAAGTGTCTTATACGCTTCTATGCTAAAACGAAGGTAACACGAGGTCTCGGACAGAAAATTTAGTTGGCACTAAAATCACAGGTGGCACTCTGCAGTCTATAAGAGATTTCTGTAGTTTTACTTCGGTTTCTTTATAATTATTGTACATAAACGACACATAGAGAATGCCATTTGGAACAATACCCAATATAATTCGACACACCCGTCGATATAAAAACGAACATCGGCAACGTAGGCATTTAGAAAAATCTTTTTTACCGACGTCGATCAAATTTCTCAACGTGTTTTACTTCACTTTAAGGAGCATGTGATACAAGACAGCCAGTTGGATGGAATACCCTGTAAAAAAGTGTCTTGTTTCAATTGACTAATTTGAAGGGTGTTTCACTTTACCTTAAAATTTCAAACGATGTGGTGCACCCACTTCGGAGAAAAGTTTTACAAATATTTTGATGCTTCAGAGGCCAGATTCATATCACCGTAAGTGGAGGAATATAATAATATAAATGGTTTTAAATAAAGTACTGAAAAAAAACAACCGTTTTTATTTTTGAATCATTTATACAAACGGCAAGTAATATAACAATCTAAGTGTCTGATGTTACTGAATTAGACTATATTACATTTTTCATTTCATTCTCTTTATTATAAAAAACATATTACAATGCTCGGTACTATACTAATCGAGGCAAAAAGTATCAAATATGTAGTGGCCTTTAATTTTAGGTTCACTCAGTAGTCTATATATTAGACATGATCGTTTGGCATATTCCTTACAAATACCTATTAATACTTCTTACAACTAATCAGGAGTTCTCTAACAGCAATTTATAGTTTTCCATCGATCAGTATTCATGTACGAGAATCGCAGGCCAAGGTCATGTTCAAACACTTTATCGACGGGGCACGCAAATTAACATCCAAACTAAAACTTAATAAAACCATCCCGTCAATAAAGCGTTAATATACACTGGAAATATTGATGAATGGTAAACTAGGAAAGGCTACTATTTGAATAGAATTGACGTGAAAATTTGAAGTAAGTAATCGGCTCTAAAAAAAAAAAAAAAGAAATTAATACACTAATTATCTTAATACACCATTGGTACTTTTCGTAAACAATAACACCTTTTAGACGCAACAGACACATGTACCTGTTTGACAAGATTATCTTATATTATATATTCATTTCCATTCAAATCGGAAGACATAATTCCTTGGTAAACTAGAAAAATATGTGTATAAAAAAGGTATCTGAATTTAAAAAACCATGTTTATTACTTGTATATTCCTTTAGAGCGCTTTAAGACATTTTGAAAAATCAGAATAACCAGAGAAATGAGTCTAAAGTTATCGGAAAAAATAAATGAATTATTCTCTTTGTTTATAATGCAAAAACCGCCTGCACATCTAATTTATTACGATAGACCATCCATCCATTTTAATCACCAATCATATGTTACAATTAATGGCAAGCATAAAACGTTATAACTTTGAAAACTAATCCTTCAAATCGGTTAACTTTACTCAGTAGTATTCCTGAGAATCTAATGTTACTTCAAGTTCATTAAAATTTTGATAGTTAACTCTGGAAAAATTCATCGATGCATCATTTTTTAAAGATATTACAAATTTGGATGCAGCATTGCATTGTGAAGAATATTAGAAAAAATACATTACGTACTCATTTTTCAACCTGGGATCGGTTAAGTGTCAATCTACATCACAATAGACATTTCTATTGCCTATACGTACAAATCACAGGTAAAACGGCATTGTTTTCAAGAGTGAGTGTTCGCAAAGCTAACAGTAATCGAAGGAAGTCTATTTCAAAGAGTCACTGATAGCTATCTTTGGGAACAATGTACCTAACAATCCAGATCAAAAGGAGATTGTATACCCAGAAATCCTTTGTTATATTATTATTGTGCATAATGCGGATTATGAGGTGCTTGTTTCGCATATGCCTCGTTCGTGTAAGGCGGGGGTGGCACAGGCTGCGATACATCTATAAAAGAAAGAAAAATGATTTCAAAAAGAACTGTAAATTCGAACTCCAATCATCACTAAACTATACTTTAGTAATAGAAGCTATGGATTTATTACCAAGCTATTTGGCCAGCCTTCGTTAATTCAATTACAAATTTACGAAGAAAGAAAATTAATATTATCTATTTTACAGTACCACTGCCGATTAAGTGAATTCTTTTATATCAATTTTTCGGAAACAGTTACCTGGAGCATAAACAGATTGCGCAGGGTACGAATTTTGATTCACTGGTTGGCTAACATAAGTAGTTGCATAGCCTGGTTGAGCTTGAATAGTGTGCACTACACTGGGAACTTGTACGTCTGGAACAATTGTATCACTTATTGGGCACTTACTTTATCAATATCTTTATCATTTCCCAGAGACAGCCAAGAAATATTTAATATATGCTACGATTAACGCATAGCTAAGAAAACATACAAATCATAGATTTGTATTCGTTAATTCTACATAAATGAGATGCATCGTGATAAAAAAGTGAATAATAATAATGAATACAATGGGTGAAGTAATAAAGAACATGTATTAAATGTCAAATGAGGTTTTATTTAAGTCGATTAAAGTAGCAGAATTATTCATTTAGTAATATATTATCATTACGTTCAAGCGGATCTTGCATTATAAATTACGAATTCTAGAAAAAAATACATTTTTTTTTATGAAACTTGTACATATTATACTCATGCCGGTGTATAGAACTACCGCATTAATAAGATTGTGAAATTCTCGTATTCACACAGATTCAAAATATCATTAAGTATAACAGTAAATATATATCTGCAATCACCTTTATGAGGCATCATAGCAATCATCCAATTAAAGCTTAAGCATATGCTAAATAGATCCCTACAATATTTGTAATGAAGCTTTAGTATTCCTTTGTGTAATTATATGTACTGGGTACACGGTGCGTTTAAAATAGAAATATAAATCTAGTCGTACGTAAGAACCTACGTACGTATATTTTTCAAAAATCTCTGTAAAACACCTCTCTCCAAACCATGTCTGCTATAAAAAGTTTTTTTCTTTTTCCCCGAGATATAAGAGTATCTATAATAGCATTAGCCATAAAATATTATATTGACCATACAAATCTAATCTTACACTAAATAGAAATGATTGTTTTATAATAATAATTAAGCAAATGGAATGCGAGTTTATATACTGTTAGGGGCAGCGCTCATCATCTTCTGCACTCATATCAATTGTACGCAACGGGAATGATTTCAAGCCTTGGATGGTCCTGAAAAGAATTGCAAATCTTAAAATTCAAGCCTGTAGAGTTTGTTTTGCGTGCAGAGAGATCACGCTTTGCTAATTCTTAATTGCTGTTTCTGATATAATTAATATCAAGAATTCCCTTCATTTCGATTCTTTATGAAAGTAACTATAATTTTATTATGCGGAACTCTCATGCTTAATATTTGTAACGAGGCAGTGGTGATAGTGGACCACTGTAAAGGTACGAAAATTAATGTCGCGCCACAGAATCATACGCCTTACAAGGAAACATTCCCAAGTGTCCGCCCCCGATCTTATTGATTTTCATATATGTTGAAGAACACAAAAATCTAAGAGACACGTGTTTTTTTTATATCTGCAATGGTCCACATTTAAGGGGTGAAACAACCCCCCAAAGTTTGGCGAAAATTCGATTTTTATAACAATTTTCGTAGAAGCAATGGAGGGATTTCAACGAAACTTGGTATAAACGTATTCTGTATAAGGACAGTGAAAACACAATATTGTTCAGAAATGCTACACCCTCCCAAGGAGGTGAACTACCCTTCAAGCGACATTTTTTTGTAATATCTATTAAACAACATTCCTACTTAAGTCCCACTTACGCGATGTGATTACTCACAAAAAATTAAGAAATACGTGTTTTTTGCTTTTTGCCAATAAACATTTACACATCGGTTGTAAATAATGAATGTAGGTGGTGTACGGGTATATTTCGACTAGCTATATTGGATTATATCGTGACCAATTCACTGTACATAAATCTTGTGAAAGTGCTTATTCCTCAAAAATGTCCTTGGTTTTCATAGCATGCAATTATTTATAAATAAATTTAAAAAAAAGTTTGAGACTAAAATAGTTTCGCAACAGATCCGATGACGCAGTCATCACTCGTTTCCAACTAGTAATATAATCTCCTTGGTGCAACGGTAAAATTGTATTTTTACCGTTTTTACGATAATAGGGTTAGCGATATTCGTAAATAATTACATATTATGAAAACCAACGACATTTTGAGGAATTAGCACGTTCACAAGATTTATGTACAATGAATTGGTCACGATATAACCCAATAAAGCTACTCGGGATATACCCGTATACCACCTACATTCATTGTTTACAACCGATGTGTAAATGATTATTGGTAAAAAGCAAAAAACATGGATTCTTCATTTTTTGTGAGCAATCACATCGCGTAAGTGGAACTTTAGTAGGAGTGCTCGTTTATTAGATATTATAAAAAAATGTCGCCTGAAGGGTAGTTCACCCCCTTGGGGGGGTGTAGCATTGCTGAACAATATTGTGTTTTCACCGTTCTTATACGGAATACGTTTATACCAAGTTTCGTCGAAATCCCTCCACTGCTTCTACGAAAATTATTATAAAAACTGAATTTTCGCCAAACTTTGGGGGGTTGTTTCACCCCTTAAATGTCGACCATTGGAGATATAAAAGATCACGTGTCTCTTAGATTTTTGTGTTCTTCAACATATATGGAAATCAATAAGATCGGGGGCGGACACTTGGGAATGTTTCCTTGTTAGTCTAATTTACAAAATCGAAAATACTTAGAGTAAGGCCGTTTGCACACGTTCCGGCAAAACACACGTTACGGCACTGTACTTCCAACAATATAACTTTTCTTTATTTACATTATTACCATCGAAATAAAACCGGTGCCGGTTTTGTCGGTCGTGTGCAAACGGCGTAAGGCCGCTTGCATACAACTCGGTAAAACCGGCACCAGCACAAACTTTTCTGACAATGTAACTCTCATTTATTTACATTGTTACCGACGAAAAAACCGCTGTCGGCGCCAGTTTTGTCAGTTCGTGTGTAAGGTGCCTAAGAAGAGTTCGTGGCTCCGAGAAAGGCAACGACGTAAGAATCAAGCAGTTTAAATTGTTTAGTCTCCTTCGAAATTCTCGGGTCGTTTCCACATAAAAACAAGGAAATATAAAATTTATACTTTATTTTAACAACCTTTTTCAATAGTGGGCCCTGTCTAACCTATCGGACTTTTGGACTGCAACATTGGATCACGCTCCGAGGAGAAGTTTAATATAATAATTCTAAAAACTTTTCCTTCTCAAATTTCCTTGACTTCAATCTCTTAAATTAAACCTTCCAACATAACCCTAACACCAGAAGATATTTAAGACTGGACAACATAAGTTAAATTCCACTCCGAAAGCAGAATTACAGTTTCTGTTCGACTACCTAGTCCGTAGAATGAAAGATAAATTCACTAATTATTACAAATTGTTCTTTTCATTCCAGATCTCGCAGAGAGAGGTCACATCGATCGGGTCAGATATTTTATTGAGTTTTATACAGGTTAATTTAAAGCCAAAATAAGAAGACATGTCCGAGCGTTCGTTCCGATGGAACTTATTTCTTGAGTTAACAACATTTAACATTTGATAGATATCCAAAATGGACCCTGTATACTTTAAAAGTACCTTTTAATGTGTCGCTAAATGCTAAACTTTAGTTTCAAATGATTCACGTGGCAGCAAGACATTAACGTTAGTTTATAGTTATAGTCATGAAAATGAATGCAGCGTCAAAGTGTTACAAACCTACCATTAAAAATTGAAACTAAATATTTTTTCCAAATCTCACGGTACATTTTGTTTCATATAAAATACTCGTGCATCTGTCTAAAAATATAATAATTTTCCGCAAATCAATCGTTTATGCAATTCTAGTTTTCTACTTCATCCTCCAAAAAAAGAATTAAGATCTAAATCTAATTGGATAAAAGAAAATTAGAAACTAAATTTAAAAACAAAACTTCATTTGGCCAGCCCAAAAATAATAATTATAAATGCTGAACACATTATACTGCTGATCAAATAAAGTTTTGTTTTTAAGTTTTGTTCGTAATTATCTTTTCTCTAATTACATTTATTTCTTAAATATTTTTTTAGAGGATGGAGTAGAAAACAAGATTTGCACAAACATGTTATTTTGGCGGAAATTATCATTTTTTGAACAGATATATGCACATTTTATGTGAAGCAAAGTGTACTGTGAGATTTGAAATAAATATTTAGTTTCTATTGAGCTTTACGAAATGCGCGCTTTATCCGATTCACCGATATTCCGCCCGATGGCGCTCTCTACGTGACAAATAGATCGCGCTATGCAAACGCGTTTTTTGTTTGTAGTTAGTACTTGTGTGGGGAATTCTTTTCTCGACTTCGGAAGAAAATGGCAGATGAATGCACGACGAAGCATTCGAACTGAAAAGTAAAATACCCATATAGAACCTAATGCAAAGAGAAAAGTGAAAAACTATTGTAGACAGAAATACTTCAGTCCAACACGATCAAAACAACAAGAGGCAGAAAATAGAACCGTAAGTCACGGAAAATACCCAGAGAAGGAAAGTAACAGATGAGAGGCATGAAAAAAGGCCGGTTGGAACCGAAGCTCATTACGTGGTGCTAGTTACAAAACCCTACAGGTCAGCACTAGTATTAAGGTGAAGTGAAACACCCTTCAGATCAGTCGATTTGAATACAACACTTTTTTTAAGGGTATTAGACCAAACTGTCCGAAACTTTGACACATCACTCCTGATCATCTAAGAATTGTCCCGACACATTGAAAATTTGGATTTTTGGAAAAAATTATTTAAATTAGCTAAGACCAGAACCAAAATGGCGTCGAGCTCTCATATTTCGATCAATATACAATCATTGAAGACTTTGATATGAGAATCGAAAGGGTCAGGACAATTTTACGACAATTTAGAACACTCTCGTAATAGATAAACTCGCATTTGAACGGGATAAAGGCAAAAGAAGTGTTGTATGCGCTCTATGCCAAAACGATGGTAATACGAGGTCTCGGAGTGAAAATTTAATTGATCTGGAAATCACAGATGGCGCAGGGGGTCCCTCTGCAGTCAATTAGGGCCCGAGAAAGCATGAATCCAGAGGATTTCTGGAGTTTTACTTCGATTTCTTTATAATTATTGTACGAAAACGACAGGTGGAGTATGCCATTTGGTACAATACCCAATATAATTCGACCCAGCTGTCAATATAAA